TGCTGAAGTTCAAACTCAACCCTACAAAAGCAGGTGATGCAGGATGCTTGTCTTGACACAATAAGATCTGCAACTACACTCAGAAAAACTGATTTATGTTGTGACAAAATATAAGTATGACCAAAGCACCCTTTACTAATGGAAACTTGAGCCTCGTTTTGAAAAGCAAGGAGTTAAATCACAAGAAGAAACAAAACTGTTAACTTATTTCTTTTGTTCCTCCCCACGCATCCCTTGTTTTTTTTAAAATTAAAGAAACTCTAAATCCCACTGAAAGCAACAGGAATTTTGTGAATCCATACACAGGACTCCCTTTCACAACTGTCCTCTCCTCTCTCTTGAGGCTCCCTGCCCCAGTGTTAGCTCCTTAGTGAAAGGAAAGGACATACACAAGATCTATTAATGACGCTCATAATAGGCAGACAAAATTCTAATCACTAGCAAATTCAGACAAGAAGCTGAGGTTAAAAATGTTAGGTAATTAAAATCTCACAGCTTGTTATGAATCAGCTCTCAGCTACTGCCCTTGATGCTAGAACTCCTAAAACATATACATAACCAGAGTGTCTAAAATTTGGCCCTTTAATTATGTAATATAAATAAACTTTTCCTGTGTTAGCTCACTACACATTATCCTCTGACAACAAGTCTCGGGCCAGAAAAATTACACTATATTTGCTGGGAGCTGCAAGAGTGCACAACACAGTCTGAGAAGGATCTTGTGCAGCCTCACTTTAGTCACTTTAAACCAAAATCCATAAATAATTTTAAATATAGCTTTGTGAGTGTACATAAATAACAAAGAAAGGAAAATAAATAAAGCACAGTTGACGTGAAAATGAAATGAAACCAGAATTTCATTCAACTCAATAGCAGCAATCTAATACTTAGTCAGTTTTATATGCTTTTGAAATGAAAATGGCCAATAAAGATAGTTAATTTAACCTCCCTACCTGACCCTATCGATGTGGTTTTATTACCCTTGTCATGCAGGGTAAAGAAGACTAATGCCCTTATTTCTGGTGTTTCTAGCTCCCCATATCTTTTTTTGGACAGCTATCTGTAATCTTTTTAGTTTGACAAATCACCACATTATTTTGGATATTTACATTTCAAATCAGTTCAATGTTTACATGCTCCTGCTTGGCTCCTATTAGATTGTTCCACGGGAAATAATCTCAAAACGTTAATTTACATCCCTCACATTGATGAAACAGTGGGACAGGTGCCATCAGAATGAATGAAGTCACCACACTCAATTCTTTTTATTGGCATCTGAAATCTTCTGAAGAGTAGCATCCAAGACCTCTGTTCTGTTTGAGAGCCAGCTGAAAAGCATCTGGCTGCTTATCCTTCACCAGAGAATGGCAGCACGAAGCGGAAGCCACACAGAGCTGACACATTAAATCAATTCAGTACCTGCATAAATATCCTTTATGAGCTGAACGTGTCTCTCACAAAAGCCAATGGGGCTACCACCTCCATGTCTTCATAAGAATTTCAACATTTGCAAATTATTGTTTTTAATTTAAATATCCAAGGACCATCTGAATACATGTAAGTGACATTAAAAATGGGTATCTCTTAGAGGAATCTCTTCCTCTCAAAACAACCAAGTCTTTTATTAATTTGAGAGAAGTTAATTCAGGCCATTAAGGAAAAGATATTTCCTCCCTTTCCTGAAAAGGACTAAAAAAAACCTATTTGCAGTATGAGGCTTTCAAGGGTTAGGGCTGGGCCAGCCACTATACAAATGACAGATTGCTCTCTATTAACCCCCTCTCCCTTCCCAGAAGGTGAAGAGAAATGGAATAAGGGAGAGAGGTTTATGGACTGGAAATGAAAACTAAACCAGCATCAATGAAATAATAATAATAATACAATGAAATATATAAAAACCCCAATATCAAACCTGCCCCTTTTGCTCCCTCCATGGCACTTACATCAACCTCACCACTGGTGCTGTGGAGCAGGCACTGGGCAAGTCCTAGACTGGACTCAGCCATTACATGGGAACTGGATTTAGGAGCTGGATTCCAGAACTAGATTCAGGAATACACAGATTTGGATACAAGGCAGAATGGACAGATTCCTCCTTGGACTCTGGCCATTGAAGAAGAGAGCTTGACCCTTGTGATCCCTCAGCTTTATACCAAACATGATGCACATGACATGGCATGGCATGGCATTCCATGCTGGTCAGTTTAGGGTCACCTGTCCTGTTGGCTCCTCCCCACAGGTGCAGCCTCTTGCTTTGCAGCACCCCAAGATAGTACAGAAGATTGAGCAGTGACCTTGGTCTGCACAGGAGCAAGTATAAGCAAGAGCCTTTCTGCACAGCAAGCCTTGGTAGTAGCTACAAACACCTAGTGTTATCACTACTAGAAGCAAACACCATCTGAAAAAATATGCCATTAACTTTAGGACGTGCAGTTAGTAAGATGACACTTGACTGAAAAGTAAATCACTGAACAGAATTACTGTGCTCTAACTCAAACCAGGACAGATGCTAAAGCTGCTTTCTTATTCTAGAGCTCATCCTGAGAAATAACATCTTCAATTTTCTTTGAGGCCAGTAGGAGTTGCAGGTCCATAGTGTTTAGAACAGTCTTGCTGGGCTTGACCCAAAATCTTCTTCAGATTCTCCCCCTTGATTTCAGGCTGAATGCTTTCATTTGATTTACCAGGAAGACGAAAGGTTAATCATAGAGATCTTGCAGGATTTCAAAACCTTACTGTAGGTCACAGATGCTCCTATTTATAACATAAGACACAAGAGTAAGAAAATATACAAAATATCTACAGAAAGGATTAAAAGGAAAAGTGAGTGTGTTCTAGATCAGACAGTGAGCAGCTGGATATGTGACATGCCAGCTTACGCTGGTGCCCACCAGACTGTCTCTACCACTTTGTTCACTGCCTTTTGAATAATTTGAACTCTCTCCCTCAGTTCTAGTTTACATATAGATAGATTGTGTGAAACACACACAG